GGATCAACAGAACTACAATCCATCTCAGTCCCAGCAGATCAGACTCTGATAGCTCACCAGACCTGGCCTGGGGACAGTGGCCCCACACTTAGCATGGAATGGCTTATGGTCTCCCTGACAACTCCCTATAGCTGCATCAGAGGAGAATCCTGGAAAAACCTAAAAGCTACTGGTGCTTCCTAATTGCTAGGCCTGCCCATAGTCCCTCATTAGTTTGAACAACGAAGCTGGGCCTTAGGACAGTAGCAGCTTCTCTGCCGGGGGAGTCAGAGATCAAATGACACCTGTTAACAGCTGACACCTTCCCAGCTCTACCTTTCTACCCTAGGGAAAGACAGAGCCATGGTCTGAGTAATCTGTATTTTAGTGGAGTTTTTCAGTCTCCTAGAACATTTCCTGTCCCTCTTCCAAGGCACAGAATGTACATTCCATTATACACTCAATGTCCAGTACAGCCATCTCTACTTCATAGCTGGGAAGTCTTATAGCCAAACTTCAGTCAAATAGAACAGTAACAACAATTAAAGCAAAAAGTGGCCATGATTTGAAAGCAAGGAGAGGTAAATGGGAGGTGAATGAAAAAAAAATAAATAAAAAGAAAAGGTATGGTGGGAGTAGAAAGTTTATTACAGTTAAAAGGAGAGAGCATAGGCAGATGCAGGGACATCTGGGAGAGTCCAGAATGGACATGGCCCTGAGTCATGTGAGGGGAGGATGGAGGGGGAAGGGGAGAGCCAGACCAAGAGGCTAGGATTGTAAATGACAGATGACGACCAGGCAACCAAAATGATTGGATTACACAAGAAAGGGCAGCTAGGAGAAGGGCAGCCCAAGCTCTGGGCTAGAGGGCTAGGTATGCCAACCATTACCCAGTTAACAGGCAGGGACTGAGGGATGCTGGCAGCCAGGTCTGCTTTGATTTGTTAAATAGGCTCCTCAGCCCTTTGTCCCTGGGTTTGATAACTTAACAGTAGGGAGGAATGAGAAGGATGAAATGACTTAATTGTCATTTCAAAAATTATTTTTAAAAGTTAAAAAAGATTTTATGGTCCAATATTCTTCATAGACTAAACATACGTATTAGAGCCCACCAAGTATTATTTATACCTTTTCTCTCAGGTTGTGCATTTTCAGACAAGAAAAATAATATCCTATTAGGCACAGACACACAAGTTTCTCCAGGTTTTCTGTGTTTGCTGAACTAGTATAACTACAGAAATTTGGTTTCTAGAAATAAGTTCAGTTCCTCATCCAGAATCTTGATGGCCTTAGTCTGTTGAAAGCTGCCCCTTCTCCCAAAATGGCCAGTTTGGACGTTTACTCATCGTCTAAAATTGATGACCTTAATACACATTACTAATGCCAACTACTGTCATAGCAAGAAAGTTCTCACTTTCCTTCCTCCCTATCCCTTTCTGTCCTGTGACTACATGCTCAAAGTTGATCAGTGAACTCAATTCTTATTTGTAATTCTCCCTCCCTCCCCGCTCTAAAAGCCAGGGAGCTCAGCGGACACTCATTCACTGGTCTCTTTCCCTTTGCACTAACCAGGCAAGAACCAGCCTGAGAGGAGCTGAAGGATGGCACAGGCAAATTCACTGGAAACATAGTCATGTAGCCAGCATAGCTGCTTGATACAGTGCCAGCAAAACTGAGAAGGATGGTGATTATCCTCACCATCCTTCTATCTGTAATTTTTGGGTTTTGGTCTCTTTGTGTTACATTATTAGGGACTTTCTGCATTACGATTCAATTTATGTCTTTCCTGAGAAAAATCATGTCTGAGTTTTTTTTTTTTTTTTTTTTTTTTTTAGGAAAGTACTCAAATTAACCTTAGGCCACTACTTTTAGAAGTCTTCCTTATGCCCTGGAAATCATAAGCACAGATAAGCATATAGCTATATGAAGCCATTATTCTAGGAATCTTCTTGTGGTATCTGCCTCTGAGCAAACTCAAACATCATAATTGGTTCAGGGTAAACTGAGACAACTGACAAGCTCTGACTGGCCAGGAGAAAAGATTACAGATTGAAAGCCTCTTTTTATTATAGCCTTAGAGCTCTCTGAAAACATAGTTTAAAGAAAGTACACCCATAGAGGAATATAACTCAGTAAAGAAGATAGATGGCCTAAAATAAATCTTTCCTATTTTATTGTGTAGATGATGATACATATAGTAAGTTAGGTATTAATTAGTATTTGTTATTCATAAAAAGATCTGTTCAGATATTACCTGGAGTGCTCTCAAATTACAAACACTGCCAGCCTACAAGCAGGCTGTCATATAATAAACGTGTTTGCTTTGGAGGAGACATTCTTTTTCTTTTTTAAATTGATTATTTAATTTTATGTGCATTACTGTGAAGTGTGAGATCTCTTGGAATTGGTATTACAGACAGTTTTGAGCTGCCTTGTGGGTGCTGGGAATGGAACTCAGGTCCTTTGGAGGTGCTCTTAACCACTGAGCCATCTCTCCAGCCCCTGAAGGAGACATTTAAAGACATAACTCTTTAAATTAGAGTTATAGGGCTAATACTAATAAAATCTGTTCTGTTTGTATTTTCTAATGTGACTGAACGTGTAACCTTGGATATGTAATGAAAACTCAAACTTATGGTCTGTACTTCTTGGATAATCATTAGTCTGTCTTTGCTCTACGATATCCGTATAAATAAAGAAGCATCTGTTTGCTAGTCAGTCAGAGCAGCAGAAGCTGTTAGCCTACAGGTGGTCCTGCTGGCCTGCCTTCAGGGGTCTTCAGGGACCTGGCAATGTCATTACCCATGGCCACCAACAGTTGTGTACTGCCAGTAAATAGGACCCACCTGCCATCCCATGTTCTCTTACTCTCCATTTTGTTCTGTGTCTCTGTCTCTGCCTGCTTCTCTTGGTCTATCTCTGTTTTTTCCCCTCTTTTTTTCTCTATCTCTCTGCCCACATGGCTCACCCAGGCTCTAACTCCTCTCCCTTCCATCAAATAAACCTCCTGATATCAGACCTGCTGTGTGGCATACAATTCCTCATCCATAACAGAAGTGGCCTTGTTACTAGTCAGTCAGGGCTGTGTGATTTCCCTGATCATCAAGTCTGACTCACTCTCTCCTGGATGATGCTTTATCCCCTCTAAAGGCAGCCATGTCAGCAAAGACCCTCCAACTCTCCTCTCCATGCTGGGGAAGGTCCCTGGCAGCAGCACTATTTTCCAGACACTGGACAGCAAAGTCAGGATTAGGGGTTCAAAGCAAGTCTTAAAGGTTGAGCTATATGAGGCATTGCTATAAACAGAAGCAAATATCAAAGCACTTGAGAAAAAGGAATTAAATTCTTATCTCTGGGGAACATTGGAGAATAGAAACGAGATTAGAGCAGGGATACATAAAGAAAAGGAAATTTAAAAAGTAATACCAACAACTGACTTTTCAAAAAGATAAAGAAAACTATACCGACTCTGAAAAAGAGCAGGCCCTTCCCTGGTAGAGAGAATGGCATTAACAAGATAGTGTTTGCCCTTATGTGCACAGTTAGTGGCTGAGATCTGTACTCTGACACACACAGAAATACAGACAAATGGCCTGTGTCTCTAATTTCTGAGCTGACTTAACTATGACAATGAGGGTTGTACCTATCTGTATAAGACAGTCCCTTAATTGGAAATACAGTATTCACTGGCTCAAGCTAACTTACCCAAATTGTATTCTAACCAATCTGGTCTGTTTTCATTCACATGCATGAATTAATACAAGCTACAAAATTGCAAAACCACTCACCCTGAATCAAGTTCTTCACAATGCTGACCCCTACAGCTGACTCCCTTAAACTTTAGTCTGTGATATACTTATTTCACCCTGCGGTGTACAAAGGAAACTGTTTTCCTGTTCTGAAGGCAGAAGCCCTGTGCCACTTGCAAATCCTTTTCTTGTTAGTGAACTGCAATGGACAGTTCACTACATGATTCAAATGGATGAGTTTAAAACTCTGCTGTGGTACAGCCCTTTAACTAAATAATTTAGGAAGTTTAATCAAAGGGAGCAAATGACCGGGATCAGGTGACCTGCTGTTTTTAACAAAATCTTTGTCATTCTATTTTACTAATAAAGACTCAGGAGCAAGATGTTGGGGTGAAAGCCTGCTAGCTCAGAGAGGAGAGCTAGTGTCATTCTCCATACATGAGGACCTCATGGAAAGCCTTGCTTGATGGAGTCAGCCCTCACCACAAGTGTTTTTCCTTTTCAAATTGTCACCTGGTGTAGTCTTGCCCTTGTGGCAGAACTATGCTCTTTTCAAGAAGAAAACTGGGTTTTTATGGCACACCAGGCTTTAATGTTGGTTGTGACTCTGTAATGCACACTGAACAGTTTGTTAGAGGCCTGTTCTTGATAATGAGGAGGGGCCTAATGGCCCTTTGTAAATTAGAGTTGTCTCCTTTGTTATGGTTTGGAGCCAAATGTCTGGACAATCCTGAGGAACAAACATGTATATTCATGCATCCTAATCTCTAACAGGTCTGGTTAGCATACCACTTACTTATGGGGTCTTTTAGAGGCATCTACATTCTACTTGGTGTCACTTGCCATTTCCTAATCATTTTTCATATCATCAATCTTACTCTTCTCCATCACAGCTTTATATTGGAGTGCTACCTAACACATGAGATGCCTTTTACAGCCTGAACAAACTTCAAATGGATCATATACTTAAATGTTAAATGCTAAAGGCAAAACTTGTAGAAAATACTAGAAGAAACTAGGGCTCTTAGAATTTTGTATCCTACCAAGATGTTTCTACACACGCTGCAAATGCTTTGCGCAGATGCAGCCTCCATAGTGAAGTTGCGCAGGGCCCTGCACCAGGTCCAGGAACTGAGTAAGACTAAAAGAGACCCCACAGATGGCCACATCTAGCCGCTGCTTACCACCTAGCCCCAGGAACGACCCACCACTCCATCTCCCGCTGCTCAACCGCATGCTCCACCCCATTGTGTGCAGCGACCCTGTGCTCACCATTTTGCCGCTTCGGAGCTTGCCTGGATTCCTCTCACATCACCCAGCAGCAGCGTTCAGATGACGTCACTCGGAGCCAGTCTAGCCTGCTAAGCCACGGAGCTGAAAAGGCAGCGTATTACCCGGAAGAACCACCCCCTTTTTTGACTGGCGGTCCACCTGGAGTACCTGATTGGCCAGGCATTCTTGAGTGACATGAGCACCTCCCTTAGGTTAGAGTGTAATAATGAAGGGGCACAGCTTAGTGTTTCCTGGCCTAGGCTTTCCAGTCCAGGACCAGACCTTTTCCAGATGTGCAGATATCCACATTTCTGTAGCACTTGAGCTTGTCATCAATAGCCTACCGATCTGTCTTCCTACCCAGCCCCCAGGGAGAACACACCACTCCAGCTCCCGCTGCTCAGGCCCCTGCTCCTCCCCTTTGTGGGCAGTGACCCTGCGCTTACCAGGTCTCCTTTTCCGAACTTGCCTGAGCTCCCCTCACAGCACCCAGCAGTAGTGCTCAGACCGCATCACACTGAAGCGTTCAAACCTGCCTAACAATGGAGCTGAGCCTGCAGCTTGGCGCCCAGAAAGAACACTCCTCCAACTGTGAGGTCCTCCTGGAGGCTCTGATTGGTCAGAGAGTCTTGAGTGACGTGAGCTCCTCCCTTAGGGTTAGAGTGTGCTGAAGAGATACAGCTTAGTAGCTGTTGACCTAGGCTTCCAGTTCAGGGCCAGCCCTTTTCCACATATGCGGAGATTTGCATTTCAGTAGCACTTGTGCCTGTCCTCTATAATGTACCGGTCTGTCTTCTCACCCAGCCGCGAGAAGACACACCACTTCAGCTCTGATGCTCAGCCGCCTGCTCCTCCCCTTTGTGGGCAGTGACCCTGTGCTCTTAGAGTCAGGACTTCAGAGCTTGCCTGAGCTCCCCTCCCAGCCACTCAGTAGGCGCTTGCCCTTCTTTCTCCTGGAATCAAGCCCATTACTCTTCAGGAAAGGGGAATACTTCAAGTCACATCAGAACTGAGCACAACCTCTTGGAGTGGCCTGGTGAGGCAACTCCACCAGGGGGAAGTAATCAAAAAGCAGGTAACAAAGTCCCTGTCAGAGACAGACCCTCTACCCTCACTAGGGAACATGCATGAAGACTGAGCTGCCATTGGCCACATCTGTGTAATGTTGTGCTGGATTCTTGAGACCCCAAAAGACCACCAGAAGTCGAGTCTGTTGCAAAATACAGGAGGATCTTTTTATTACGAGCTTTGGCTTGGGCTCACACACCACCACAGCAGTTGAGAGCAGAGAGCCTCCTGCTAAGTGTAGGTGGTTGATTTAAAGAGTCAGGTCCCTCCCATCAATCCCAAAGCAGGGGAATTCCGTTGAAACACAAAAGGGGAGGTTGCATTTTGAACTGATTTGCTATAGGAAGGCCCCCAAATCATTAACTGTCTGGCTTCCCTTGTTTGTCCTAATGGAGAGGGGCAATCTAGGCCAATTTCCTAGCAACTGTATCTCTAGTGGGCAGGAAAGGAATACAGTAAGGCTGGTTCCTCCTCGAAGGTGGCTGGACATGTCTTCACCTGTCTGGCCTTTGTTCAGGCTTATGCTTTAAACTTTAAAACAATAGCTCAAAAAACTAATCTTTAATTCTTTGGTCTCTCAGTATGTATCCTAGGTCCAGTCCATGCATGGTCCTTGGTTGATGCTTCAGTCTCCACAAGCCCCACTGGGCCCTGGTTAGCTGGCGCTGTTGGTCTAATGGAGCTCCTGTCACCTCCAGGTCCTTCTATCCTTTCCCCCACTTTTCCACAAAACTCTCTGCATTTTGCCCAATGTTTTGCAGTGAGTCTCAGCATCTGTTTCGGTCTGCTGCTGCTGGGTGGAGCCCCTCAGAGGACAGGTATGCTAGGCTCCTATCTGTGAGCATAGCAGAATATCCTTAATAGTGTCAAGGATTGGCTATCTCCCAAGGGGGTGTGGGTCACGGGTTTGGCCAGGCATTGGTTGGACATTGCCTCAATCTCTGCTCTGTCTGTATCCCTGTACGTTTTATAGGCAGGGTAAATTTTGGGTTGAAATTTTTGTGGGTGTGTTGGTGTTCCCCTCTCTCCACTATGAGTCCTGTCCAGTTAGAGGTTGTCCTCTTCAGTCTCCATGACCAATGCTACTGGAGTCTCAGCTAGAGTCATCCCATATCCTCCCAGAAGCCTACCCTGTCCTAGGTATGCACCTTGTCAGAGATGTCCCTACCTATGAATTCTCTTCCCTTGAGGTGTTCTTAATAGAAGACAATGATCAAGATTTATTCCCCTAAGAGTACATCATATATGCAGGTAAAGTTGTGTGATTATCAGAATATTTGGGTTAAATTTCTTTTCCAAAGAGAAAATTACTAAAGATGCAGTAAATGCTTGTACTACCATCCAGAATGCATGTAAGATTGCTGTGTGTATAAAATAAAAAAGGAGGGGGCTGTTATACTGTCTTTTCCAAACTAACTATGTAAAGAAAAAAATAAAGAAATAAATGCAACGTTGACTGCAGCAAGGAAGAATGTTAATCCACTCACTTTACAAATTCTGAACTGACATCACACATATGGGAACTGGGGAAATGTTGAGGCTTGCAAGGTCAGACAAGGCAAAAGTGAGACTCTCAATGCTGGTGATAGGAGGTAACCAGAAGAGGTTGCTCCATATGAACTGTCAGCAGATCTTAATAATGCTGGGGATATCATGGAACACAATGTCAATAGTGAATGAAATGCCACAATGGGCATATAGCAGACTGGATAGAATTGTGTGGGATACCCAAAAAGAGACTTTGTACCCCCCATCCTCCTCATAATTTGAAATGTTTCTTATATTACTCAAAGGGAAACACCCCTTTTAGTCTTGCCTAAATCTCTGTAATCTGTGATCTTAACCACTGAAGACAATTTGACCTCAACCAAAGAGAAAGTGCTTTTCTCTTTTACAAAACATTCAGGTCACCATATAAAGTGGACAAATACTTAATGGTACCCTAGTTACAAAATCATATTAAACTTAGAATCTCTTTCTAAAAGAGGAGAGAATTGGTTCAGGTGTCACTCATATAGAACTTTTTGATCCACTAGCAAGACCTTTCAATTTGTAAATGAGCAACGGAAAAAAAAAAAAGCACCCTGAATTTCAGGGTGGGCACTGTAAGTAACCTGTTCTTGAGGTCCATATAACTTTCTCTTTACCATTCCTCTTACCATTCTACCTTAATGTTCACCCATACAGAGTAACATTGCTACTATAACAAAATAAAAATAAAAAATATGGCAATATAAATATCATTTTCACTTGCAAATAGGATTTATCATACTAATTGTCCTGTGTTCTTCTATCCTTCGGTGACAATATGTTTACTGTATGACTAGGGGACAATATGCTACTGATGTAATGTTTCTAATGATCTCATTTGAGCACCAATGAGACACCTCATTGGGAAAAAAATGACTGTGGTGTACAAGGCTGGCAATCTGGCCTTGATCACAATATACTGATGGGCAAAACAATCCCCACAAAGTTTTCTTCTTCATATGGCATCACTTACATGACCATAATCACATTACACACATATGCACACACATTCACTAGAATTGTTTTTAAAAAATATATCTCATTGTGTTTACATTATCTGGCATCTGTAGATAATTCCCTTAGGATGCAGTACTTCAAGATGAACTGCTAAATGCATGTGTAATTGGAACATGAAGAAGCAGCATTGACTAATATATACGTATTCATAACATTCAAGTTATGTCATGAGATATACAGTTGATTACTGAGTATCCCACTTCATACATACCTACTAAATAGATGGAAATACTCCTTTCTATACACACACAAGGCATTTAATGTCTATGACAATCTTCTATCTGGCATTTTAACATTAACATTTTAAAAACATGTTTATTGTCATGCATGTGGACATCCAGTTTTCCCAGGACCATTTGTTGAAGGTTTTTTGTTTTGTTTTGGTTTGGTTTTGGTTTTGGTTTTGGTTTTGTTTTCTCTCAAGCATGTGTTTTTGACATCTTTATCAGATATGAGGTTACATGTACTTGTGTTTGGGTATTCAATTTACCTCTATTTGTTTTTATGTCTGTATTTACCTTTATATATAATGGCAATTTTTTACATTACCTACTCCACCAGTGTGTGAGCATTAGATGATCTATCATAGATGTCTTTCGCTTCCTTGATTAGGTTTATTTAATTTTATTTGAGGGTATTGTAAATGGTATTGTATTCATCCTCTCTTTTGTACGTTTGTTTTTGTGTATGGAAAACTATTAATTTGCTCAAGATTATTCTGTATCCTACCACATTACTGAATTAGCTTATTGTTTCTAGAAGTTTCCTGTGGAAGTTTCAGGATTTCCATGTTATCTTCAAATAGAGGCAGTTTGACTTTTTATTTCCATATTGGCATTCCTTTAATTTCCTTCCCTTTCCTTATTCCCCCAGCTGGTATTTAGAGCCTACAGTATTATAAGTTAGTGGATATAATGGACATCCGTGTCACCTTTCTGACTTCAGCTGGATTGCTTCAATCTCTGTTTAGGATGATGTTGATTATGTTTCTTATATATACCTTTATTGCTGAGGTATTTTTCCCCTATCTATACATTGCCTAGGGCATTTTCATTAAGCCACACTGGATGTCCTCAAAAGTTTTTCCTTCATCTATTGAAATGATCGTGTGATGTTTGTCTTTTAGTCCATTTATTGGCTTGCTTAAATTGAAAAAAAAAAAAAACCCTGCATTTTAGGGATAAAGTCTACTTGATATCTACTTTGTCATTGTAGAGAGTCTTTTTGACACATGCCTGCATACTGTTTGAAAGCATTATATTGAGTAATTGGAGTCTAGGACTTGGTAGGAGGAAAACTAATAGTGGAAGCAACATAATTCTATTTTCATTTCAAATACATGTTGTTTTAAAGCAAAGACAAAAATAAAGGCTTAGTATTGTAAAAGACAATGAAAAATGTGTCATCCATCAGAATAAAGTTGGATTTGTCCCAGAGATATGGAGACTATTTACCATATGTAAGTCAACAAATGTACTAAAACATACAAATAACTATAAAAAGAAAAATCACATGATTGCCCATTAGGTGTATAAAGGCCTTTGACAATATCCAACATATGTGGATGACAAAAATTCTGGGAAGTACAGTAGCAGAAGGCATGTAACACATCATAATAAAAGGTGTATCTTCATACAAGGAAAAAAACCTCTAAGCAGTTCCATTAAAATCATGAATGAGACAGTGCCATCCACTATCCCCACTTGTTTCCAATAGAGTGGAAACTCACTAAACAATAAGACAATATAATAAAATTACAGGAAAACAAATAGCAAAAAAAGTGAATTCATCCCTATTTTGAAGCGATATATTATCACAAGAGATTCCATGCTTGCTAGAATTACAGATTGTCAAACAACCACTGAACACACACCATGAGTCTTCAGTTACAACAAAGAGCCTACCATAGTACGTGCACTATGAATGTTAGCTTATAGGCATGAAACTCCTACATT